ATAGAAAGATTTATTTAGCAAAAGCCAGTTGACTAATGACAACACCCAAGGGTTAAGTGCACTTACATTGACAGATCGGTTTCCCAGATAGATTGAATCAACAGTTAGTGACACGACAGTTGTAGGAAAAGAAAGGACAAAAAATATAGCTATAAAACCCCAGTCAAGGTCCGTAACAAACGTGAGAGGCTAGAGAGGTGTCTTGGAGGCAGCGCTGAGTGAGGAGGAGGATCATTTACACGCATACACCCATGGTGCGGCAGGATGCTGGCAGGGTCCCACCCGCCGTCAGCAGCAACCCCTCAGCCCGTGGGGCACCCACCGCTGTCCCCAGCGGGCAGGGTGCCGGGCAGGAGCCCAAGCTGGTCCCGACGGCTCCTTGCCAGGCACCGCCTAGGCTATGGTCATGCTGGCTCCTCACCGGGTACCGCCTGGGCTGTGCCTGTGATGGGTGGGAGCAGGGGCCTGGGGGATGGCTCAGCCCTGCCTGCTTCCTGAGGCCCAGCCTGGAAGAGACCTCCTGCCTGCTGCTGCTCCTTGGAGGGAGAGCCCTGCATGTACGGCCAAGCTCCTGCCATCCCCACTCCTGCATGATCTATCTGCCTGCATGGAAATCTCTCTCTGAGCTCATCCCTACCCTACCATGTCCTGTGCATGCTGCCATCCCCACCTCTCCCTCGCAGAGAGACCAGCCTCCCACCCCACACTTTCACTTCCGACCGAGCCGGCAGTGGGATGTGGGGGTCCACAGCAGAGGGCTGGCACAGAGCTGTGCCCACAGCAGCGCCGGGCAGAGCATGCGGAGCTATCAGTGGCCAGAGGACAGGAGCACCCAGGTCCCAGCCAGCACCCGCCCCCACTCTGCCCCCACTGCTGGGGACACTGAAACACAGCCTTCCTTCCCAGTAGGATTCTCCAGCTCCTCACAGCATTCAGCCTCCTCCTGCGGTGCACAGCACAGCTCATACTGACCCCAGGGGTCTCACCCACACCTCACCCCTCAGTCCCAAGGGGGCCGGGGCAAAAAGAAGCGACGGACCTTCCTCAGCAGCCGGGCTGAACCTTGGGGAAGAGCCAGAGCTCGTGCCTGGGAGATGCTCAGCCAGGGGTTAGGGACAGGCAGATCAAGCACAGACAGAGCTGGGGAAGGCGAGAGCAGAGGGAAGCAACACAGTGAAGCAAAAGCAGGACAGGAGGATGGACTGGGAGGAAGACAACTGTGCCCACCTTGTCGAGTGTTTCCCCCAGGAGCGAGGGGAACATCAGGACTCTGGCTCACACCCCTTCAGCCGTCAAGGGGCAGCGAGCGTGCCCATCCTGCATACGGCCGATGCCAGCACTGCATCCCCCGGCACTGGTCCAGAGGCATGCAATTGCTTGGAAATAGTGGGTTTGTCTAAAAGCACGGAGTTTGTGGTGATGGGGGTGCAGGAAAGCGCTTGAAAACATGACTTGAGAGCACCAGTAAGGCTTTAAAATCTGGCAACCGTGCTGAGGAGCCCGAGGACTAGATAATGAGGCAAAGGACACTACGTAAGCCCATGCAGCGTGCTCTGGCTCCCTGCTCCGCACCGAGCTGTGCCCGGGAGAGGAGCAGGCGCTGCCCATGTGCCCCCTGCCTGCCTCAGGCAGGGACAAACCCTGCCCTGAGGTGCCACAAACACCATCACCCTAAGCCCAGCCACCCTACGTGACCTCATCTCACCCCTTCAGCTCCTTCCCAGGCTTCTCCCCACTGTCCCCTCATGCCTCACCCCTCACTCACGCACCCACACCGACAGTTCATCGCCACCAACCCTAAGTGGCTCCGGCCCCATCTCCCTCCACCACACAGAGCCAGACCCCTGCCAGCGGCTCTGCCCCTGCCCACCGTCCTGCACTGCCTCCTCGGTCCCTCTGTCCCCACTCACTGCCCTGCACCTCCTCCCCCAGCAAAAACCTTCATCTGCTTTACTGCTTCTCCTGCAGCAGTGGCTAACCCTGCAGCGTCCAGAGCGTGTCCCTTGCTTCTCCCTGACCTCGGAACACAGCTTGCAGCGGGCAGGGACCAGGGGGTAGCACAAGCAGCTATCAGCTTGATGTCTGATGTGAAGCAGGGGCACTCCAGCTCAGCACACAAGCCCATGCACACTGGAAAACAGCACGTCTGGCACATCGTCTTGGCACGGCTCCGTCCTCACCCCCGCACACCTCCTGGCCGTGTGCTGGAAGCCTCACGCTCCCTCCTCTGCCTTCTCTCCCTCCAGGCCATCCCAGGGAGCTACGGCCAGGGTCTGTCCCAGCTCCAGCGGGTCCCGGCTGCTCCGCACCACCTCCTGCCAAACCCTACACTGCAATCTCGTCCTCCAGGCTGTCGCCCAGATCCTGCCTGGGCTGGACGTGGAGCAGGCGCGGGGGTTCCTCCTGGGACCAGGAGTCACGCTCCTCGCTCTCGTCTGTGTTGGACTCGTACTCAGAGGCGATGCCCGACTCGCGGAATTTGATGAGCTCCAGGCTGCCCAGCGGTGGCTCTGGGGCGGGCGGCCCTAAAAAAGAGGCGGGTACCCCCCAGGCTCCCCCAGACAGTCGTTCCTACCTATAGGGCTGTCCAGGGCGCTGGGAAAGCCTGAGCTGGAGGCCAGTGGTGGCGGGTGGGTGTCCTCGGGTTGCGGGGTGGTCGGGTCACAGAGGACGGGAAGGACGTTGGAGCGGAAGGTGATCTCCAGCAGACTGTCCTGGGAGCCTGCTGCAAGAGAAGGGCGCAGCTGAGAGGCAGGCACCTCCACCCCAGCTTGCGTGGGCATCCCCTGGCCACAACAGCTGGCTGCAGACTGGCCACAGGAGGATGCTCCAGGGCCATGTGGCTG